CTTTTCAGTGTGCTCTGGCTGCCATAGTGATCTCTGCCGTAATGGGGCTAGTAAGTATTCGAATCCCTTGAGGTGTCTTTTTTTTGTATTAGGTGGGCATGTCGTAAATTATTGTCCTCATAGTAATAAATCAACATCTAAATATATTTTTAAGTGTTGAACTGGGACCCTTAGTTGAAAAAGAGGAATGTGAATTATGCTTATCTTCCTTGGATTAATGATTAGCCATGATAAGCTCAGTTGAGATGATTAGGTTTTGGCTTTCAGAGCATTAGCAGCCCCAAGCCCCCAATTAGGAAAAATTATGGGTTTAGAGGAGTCAAAAGCCTGGATGACTATTGGCGCAGCTGGCCTTTGTATTACATATTCACACATCTAATTGTATACAGTATTAGTGAATTGTGGTATCAGTTATCACTGACATTGAAACTTTAAAGCTGTTTTTTGAGGAAGTATGTTCTCACTCTAGTTCCCATTAACTGCACTGAAGTGGTTTGGATATATTATGCCAGCAAAATGGTTTCATATCAAGTGATCCAGATATCTGTTTTTCAATATGCTGTTGGAAATCATGTTGTTCTAGGTGCAAGCTACCTTTGGCCTGTTTTGATATTCTTTCTTGTTTAAGTCTGTTGTTTCAGGTGGATTATGATGAAGCCATCTTTTTATGGAGGGTGAACAGGAAAGATTTCTTTCTATGGACCATCACTTTCATTACCACATTATTTCTTGGCATTGAGATTGGTGTCCTTGTTGGAGTAAGTTTTCGACTCAGTTAATCTGAAAAAAGTTGAGCAGTCCAAGAAAACATATATATAAATATAATCCGCAAAAAAAGCATATTTGGCTATTGATAATTACTTATACAAGGATTGACTTTTCAAGTGTTCAAAACTACCTGCAAAGTGGTGGGAGTTTTTCTAAAAATCAGATGATAATATTAAATACACATTCCTGCTTTAAAGCTTGCCAAAAGGTTCGTAATAAATTATTTGCAGTTAGTGAGCCTTACCATATGGACAACGCTACTTTTGTTAATCCTATCAAACATAAACTTGATTTTTATCAGTTGTGGCATGTCTAGGCTTGTAGCATTACCATAAGTGTCACTAGGGTACTGGACAAAATTTCTCTTACCTGTCTGAGTATGGTAATTGACATTTGTAGGTGGGCTTTTCTCTGGCGTTTGTCATCCATGAGTCAGCAAATCCTCATATTGGTGAGTACTGCCTTGGATCATGGTATTGGTACCCCACAATTACCTTAGACAGGAACCATTCTTATATAGTGGGTAGTTCTTCACTAAAGTTGCTTGGTTTGGTTCATACGCAATTATGCGCTTAATGTTTTTTGTCTTAGTAAATGAATTTATTCAAAGAGTGCAACAGTATGTTGAGATAACATGCAGGTACAGGAAAAGGAAAACATTATATGATCAATTTACGATACACTAGTATGATTGATTACAGATCTTTCTTATTGTTACTATATATTCAACGCGTTGCCTCTTACTATCTTTTTGCCTTCCCTTCAATTTCAGCTGTTTTGGGACGTCTTCCTGGTACCACTATTTACAGAAATATTCAACAGTACCCCGAAGCATATACTTACAATGGCATTGTGATTGTTCGTATTGATGCACCTATTTACTTTGCAAACACAAGTTATATAAAAGACAGGTGCGTGAGAATTCCCAAAACATTATTGAATTCTTTGCCAGTAAGAGTTGTCAGTTCTGCAAATGTTGATATAATGATTCATGTTCATGGTTAAATCACCAGATTAAGGGAGTACGAGATCAATATTGATGGAGCCACTAAACGTGGACCAAGAGTTGATAGAATCTATTTTGTCATCATAGAGATGGCACGTAAGTCTTCCTTATTATTTTTACCTTTGTAGATTGTGGAATCCAAAAGATTCACATGTGCATAGGATGTTAAGCCTTAGCGCATTCTTAGTTGGCACCCAATTTTGATGTTGTAATGGCCCCCATTATTAGTTGTCTGATAGGTTAGCATTTCTATTGCAGCCGTTACGTACATAGATTCCAGTGCTGTTCAAGCTCTAAGGGACTTGTATCAGGAGTACAAGGATCGGGGTATACAGGTAGTTAATATATTTATCACACAATGAAGATGATTATGATTCTTAATTACTTACTGCTGATCTTTTTGCTATGCATGAAGACTCGTCTTTTGCTGTGCAAGGCGCTAGAGTTTTCAAAATGTGTGTTTGACACTGTTGTAAATGCCAGTAGCATTTTATTGATGGGAGCTCATAAATTCAATGTCCTTCCTTGACATATTAATGCAGAATTCATTTACATTTTAACTTGAGAAATTAGTACGCATGCATGGGCTATTATTCAACCCTAAGAATGTACTCGTTTTACTGTACGAACGGGTGGTAAGGTTGTGTTTAATTGTTGTATGATGTTTTCCTGAGGCAGATGATATCTCTGCATTGGTTTGTTGAATATGCTGCATTAGTATGTTGGCACATTTAGTTTGTTGGGAATCTGAGTACTGTATCTTATGGTGTCAGAGTTCAAGTATTTATATATCTTTGAAAGCTCGAGCTTGAGTTCCATGTCTAACAGTAAATGTGTTTCTTTTGCAGATTGCTATTGCTAACCCTAATTGTGAAGTGTTGCGGACTCTTACAAAATCAGGGGTATATGACCTGATTGGCAAGGAGTGGTACTTTGTTAGGGTGCATGATGCGGCCCAAGTCTGCCTTCAGCATGTGGAACAGCTGGAAGGACAGAAGGCCGACCATATACTTGAGACAAAACCAGGAATTTCTCAGAGGCTGCGGGTGCAGCAAGTAGAAGAAGACGGATTAAAGCTGGAGTTGGAATCAGGTGATCAAGATCCCCTGTTAACAGATAAGAATGCAGTGGACCAACTCCCTGAAAAGCAATCAGGTATGTTCCAAAGGCTATGGAAAGAAGATGACAAGACAAAGAGTCATTCAGAGCCACTGTTACCTCATAAGCATTAGGTTGTTCTGGTTGTAATGGTGCACTTGTTATCTTTTTACACCTGAATGCCTGGCGCAATTAGTTTGCTGTAATAATAACGGTGATTTTATAACAACAAATTAATGTTGTTTAGTTTGCTGTAATATCTGACATTTGTTTGTTGTAATGCAAATTTATACATAAGATATATCAGTATTGTTATGTAACAATTGAGAAGCAATGGTCCAATTTGTCAATCATTTGTGTCATAGCAACAAAATCATTTGTAGATTATTTAAAACAAAAAAACAAAATCATTTGTAGATTAGTCAGCAATTCTGCAGTCTCGTTATTAAATTTTTAATTGTTTAGTCCCACATTGAAATGTGACAGAGAAAGTGGCTTCTTGGCAGTCTATAAAATGCGAAGGTGGAGCTAGTGTTAAAACTTGCCTTAAACTAATGAGTAAGGAAAACAAAGCGATCGGTGAGAGCCGGTCGTGCGCTAACTCAATAAAATTTGTTGCGCAAGAATTTATGGAGGGGTTATAGGCTGGCCGAGTTGTTGACGCTGCTTACTTTTGCAGAACTCTCTCGTGCGGGCCTCCCATAACACCCACACCCACCAATTCATAAACAAAATTTGCACATAAACTCTCTAAATTCGTCAAAGTTCTCTAAAGAAAAACCCTAAATACAAATGTCTTCATTGAAGTCATTAGAGACTGAACATCCGACTATTGATTCTAATTTCCAGAAGTTTTGTGCTTCTCATGGCATCTTTACAGGTCTTTCATCATTCTCACTTGCTCTTTTTTTCTGGGTTGTATTTGAATTTTGAAACACTAGTAGAGTTGACTGGCTTGGTGGGTTTTTTTTTTTCTAGGTTTCATACAATGATATCTTTTAGACATTCCATTGTAAAACCTCATAATGATATTGACTGGATCTTTATAATTTTCATAGTATCTAAACTGAATTCTATATGGAACATTATTTTCTTAGTTTAGGACCAATTTTTCGTTTTTGTTTTGCCTTAAATTTTGTGTTGACTAGCTACAATCTGGGCTTTTATTGTCTACAGTGGAGGATTTTCTGCTTAATGATGTCTATGTCTTACTTGATTTTGCTGAAGGCCATTCCAATTCAAAAGAATTGAAGCAGGTCAGTCATACTCCCCATGTTCTTAAGATTTTCTGATTAAGATTGCTTGAGCTTATGCAGCTCTATGACTATATATAAGCAGGGAATTACTCAAGTTCTCACCATCATAGACAGTTTGCATCCACCGTGGATGAATGGTGTTGATTTACTGACAGATGCTCAGCGTAATAAGCAAGTTCTGTCCACTGGATGTCAAGGGTATTTCTAGCACAATTTCTACATTATAAATGTTAGTAGCACATTTCCTATTCCTGCAGATAATTTAACCAACCAAATATATTTTTACCTTAATGATTAGGCTTGATTTGCTTCTTGGAGGTGGATTACGTGAGGGCCAGTTGACAGAGCTAGTTGGCCCGTCATCTTCTGGCAAAACTCAAGTAGGATATTTGTTAAGTAGTTATATTTTCAGTTGCTTGTTTTTTCTCTTTGATTTGTTAATCTAGTTGGTGGTATTCATTTTATGGCTTCTTGTTGACATGCTTGGCTTATGACCTCTATCAGCATATTAGATATTGATATCTGCTTCGCCTCTGAATGTATGCTTAGGTTTGTCTTCAAGCTGCAACAACAATTGCTTATAAGTACATGGCTTCTGTGGTGTTTGTGGACACATGCAACTCGTTTTCATCCAGTCGCATTGCAGGCTTCATGGAGAGACTGTTGAACCCATCTCTTAAGGAGGTAGAACACACATTAGCATTGCTCTGCATCTCCTTTCATCTGTGAATTGGCACTTACTTTTTAGGTTTTCAAGTGGTTGACTTATCTTTAAATGTGTTTGGAAGCGTAGCTGCTTT